CGAATTAATCTATTAAAAGAGATTTTTTGAGTATATAAACCTCTAAATAAAACGATAAATAAAGATTATTTTAACTTTCTAAAGTTTTATAATATTAATTACTTATTCGAAATAATATAATTATTCGATCTATTCGATAGATTAATTACTTAAATAAGAGAAAAGATATATATTAAATTCTTTAAAAAGTATTATAAATTAACGAATAAGTATAATAACTATATTAAATAGATTATATATTATAATATCGTATATTAGAAGATAATTATAATATATAATCTCATTAAGTATTAAGATATAGAAGTATTATTATCTATAATTAAGAGATTATAAAAGAAGGGGAAGAAAGATTAAGATAAAAACTTTTTTAGATCTTTATATCTAAGATTAATAGATAGAATAATAAAAAGCGTAATATTATAAGATAGATTTATTATTATAATAGTCGTTATTAATAATTAATAAAAGTCGTTACTAAATAATTAAAGTTAAATACTTTTCTTAAAGCTCTAATCGCCTTTATTTAAATAAATTAAATAAAATTAAAAGAATATTATCTATTTAAGAGAGATAATAATATTAATATATATAAGACGAACTATAAATAAGTACGTCGATATTTAATTCGTATTTATTTTAATATTCGATATTAAAAGGCTCTTAAGAGAGGATTCTCTAGATATAGCTCGCTTATTTAAAGACGTTATTATCTATAAATTTATTAATTAACTCTTTTAAAAAAGATAATATAGAAATTACGCTTAGATCTATAAATATAATTAATAAACCTTCGATATTAATAAGATTTTTTTAAGGAAATTAATAAAAGAAGTATTAGTTATAATAAAAGTAATAAATCTAGCCCGTAGAGATTTTAGATAAAGATCGACTTATCTATAAAGTATTTTTATAGAGATATTTAAATATCAATATAATAAATAAGTTTAGAAATATTATAATATAATAAAAGTAGAAAAGGCGTAGTTATTAATAGCGCGAAATCTAAGAATTCTTAAAAAATAACGATTCTATAGCCTCGTAAGTATCGAGAGAAATATATATATTATACTCGCGTTAATAAAAGATAAGAAATTTTATTATATTAATAGCTTTATCGACTTTAATTAATATAATAATATCTATAATTTAAATTTTTTAAATAAGAGTTATAGAGTAGTAAAGGAGATTAATATACGCTATATTATAAGATAATAGAGATATTAAGAATCTAAATCTTAGAATATTAGAAATAAAACTAAATATATAACGAGTAAAATCGATCTTAGTTACTCTTCTCGACTCGAATATCTTTCTCGATTTAAATATCTTTTTTAATCTAGATATTTTTCTTAACTCGAATATCTTTCTCGATTTAAATACTCTTTTTAATTTAAATAACTTTCGAATTATCTTTAGAGTTCATTAAGTAAAGAGAAGTTTTATAATTATAGAATATATACGTAGATATTATAATTAGAAAGAGAAGAAAGAGCGAGCTTTTCTCTAATTAGAGAGATATTAATATACTTTAAAAAGTATCTAATTAAGTATTTCGACGTCGAAGACTACTATTAAACTAATTCGCGATTTCTTATAATTTAAAAAATACTTATCGCCTATAATGAAGGCTATTATTTAAAATTTCTCTAAAGTTATTAATAATCTATATAATAATATTAGAATCGAGATATATTATTTTAAAAATATAATAAATTAGAAGAAAGCCTTAACGTAAGATATTATAGAGGGAGATTTATATATATTATTACTCGCTATATTCTTATATATATAATTATTTAAAAGCTAAAACTTTTAATTTAAGAAAGTTAATTTCGATTTTATAAGAAAGATATCTAATATTTTAACGAGTATTAATATATATAAATCTCGAAGAAATTTAGATATTAAGAGAAGAGATTAATAGAGTTAAAGTCGAGTAATAGAAATATAAATATATATTATCGACCTTTATATATATTATATTAACTTTAACGCGATTATAGCGATAGAAAAGCGTATTAATAATAGTTTTTCTTTTTAGATAATTAGCGCTTATAAGATATATTATAAATAATAATACTCTTATCTTTAATAGAAAAGATAGATTACTTAATATAATAATATAAATTTATATATATAAATTTAATATCTAGTAATAGTATTATTAAGTTAAGTTAAATTAAATTTATAATATAACTAAGTTAAGTTAAACTCGACTTATAGAGTTAAATTAATATCGCGAATTATAGAAATAATAAAATATTAATATAAGGCGATTATTATTTCTAGAAAAATTATTTAAATAGTATATAGTAATTATTAAATTAGCGAATATTATTCGAATAGTATATAGTAATTATTAAATTAATAAATATTATTTAAATAGTATATAGTAATTACTAAATCGACGAATAGTATTTTAATAGTAAATAGTAATAATTAAATCGGCGAATAGCGTATAAAAAGTAGATTATAATTATTAATTAGGCGGAATTTAAATGAATTTTAATTAGATTTACTAATTCGACGGATTTTATAATTTCCGCGACTAACGCGCGATTAGCAATTTCAAATTTTATAGAAACTTTTCAGATTTGCAGATGTTTAATAAGAAATTAAAGTTATAGTTATTATTTTTATTATTATTTTTATCTTAACCTTATTTTAAAGTATTACTCTTATATTCTAAATTATTATTATCTCTGAAGGCCTTCTTATTTTTCTATTTCTTATAATATTTCTTTATAATAATAGCTATAGCTTATTTCTTATTATCTTATTTAAGAAGATAATCTTCTTCGTAAAGAAGTATAATAATTTTATTAAAGTCTAATATATTATTAAGTTATAAGATAAGATGATATACGAAGTTTTTATACTTTTCGTTTAAATTGTTTAATAATAGGGTAATAAGAATTCATTTATCGATTGAAGCTTTTATACGCTTAAGGTTCTTAAATTTTATATATATATTAATAATATAAGTCTTAATCGAGTTATTACTATTAATTATAATAATATTTTATAGTTTTTATAACTTAATAAAGCGAAGAACGAATCTAGAGTTTATATAGTCGTTTTGGAGTTTAATTTATCTTATTATAACTATCTTCTTATCTTCTATTACTTTAATTAGTTTATTCTTATATATCGAGTAGATAAGTTTCGATGCTTAATTATTAAGGTTCTTTCAGATCTTTATATTAATATTATATCTTAAAATCTACTAATTAATAAGCCTCGGTATGATAGTTTTTATATAATAGATTTTATTAGCTAGTATATTCGTAATAATAACTTTCTCTAATAGATCGTCTAGAAATAGTATTAATTCTTATTCTACTACGTCTTATAGGCCGTAGTACTTTAAGATACTCTTTATCTTCTTTAATTAAGACTAATAGTTTTTCTATTCTTTAAACTTTAGAAAATTCTAGATCTAAATTAATATAGCTGCGTATATATTAAACGCCTATATAATCATCTTATATAGCTATTTATAGAAGAAAGAATAAAAGAGTAGATAGAAAATATATAATAAGAATGTGGGAATATTCGTTTAACTCTTATAATACTAAATTATTAAATAGATAGATATTTCTAATTAATAGTGTAGAGACCACGGTAGCGAAATTCCGGGTTTATAATCTATTGAAAATGGTATATACTTAATAATCTCAAATCATAAAGTACGAGTAAAGGCCTATGAATTAAATTCATAATCATTTTTTTAATTAGGGCTATCGAGTAAGTAGGTGAGCGATCTTTGGTGAGCGAACTTTGGTGAGCAGGCTGTCCGGCTGTCGAGCGAACTTTGGTGAGCGATATTTGAATTCCTTGCGCTTTAATAATTATAAGACTAAATTTCAAAATTCTTAAAAATTCGGAAAGCATAAACAGCGCTTCAAAATTTAAAAAAAAAAAAAAAAGTAATTCTATGTGTCAATAATGTACACCTATTTTTTTGATGAGGGAGGCGTGGGAGGGCGAGATTTTGATGGTTGCGGACGCTAATTTATTTACCCGCGATGAGTCAGCCGATCTAGCCAAAAAGCGTAGAGGACCCGAATTGATGATTGGCTGCACATACAAATTCAAGGTTTTCAAGCTCAGCCCTACCTTATTCTTTTATATATACTAATAATATTATCTTATTATTTCTATACGAGTAAAGGCCTATGAATTAAATTCATAATTATTCTTTTGATTAGGGCTATCGAGTAAGTAGGTAAGCGATCTTTAATGAGCGAACTTTGGTGAGCGGGCTGTCCGGCTGTCGAGCGAACTTTGGTGAGCGATATTTGAATTCCTTACGCTTTAATAATTATAAGACCAAATTTCAAAATTCTTAAAAATTCGGAAAGCGCAAACAGCGCTTCAAAATTTTAAAAAAAAAATCTCAAAATTTTAATAGAAAACAAAAAAGTAATTCTATGTGTCAATAATATACACCTATTTTTTTGATAAGGGAGGCGTGGGAGGGCGAGATTTTGATGGTTGCGGACGCTAATTTATTTACCCGCGATAAGTCAGCCGATCTAGCCAAAAAGCGTAGAGGACCCGAATTTATAATTGGCTGCACAAAAATTTTTTTTTTTTTTTTTTTTTTTTTTTTTTTTTTTTTTTTTTTTTTTTTTTTTAAAAAAATTTATTAAAAAAAAAATATTTTTTTTTTTTTTTTTTTTAAAAAAACCTCTATTTTTTTTTTTTTTTTTATGGTTTTTTTTCACCCCTTTTTTTATTTTTTTTTTGGGGGGAAAAATTTTTCCCTCTTTTGGCTGATTCCAACACAAAGTCTGTTATGGTACATCATAGAATCATACTCTGTAGGCATCAGCGTAGAAGAGTGAGGAGACATTCGCGAGCATTCTGACCTGTGACAGGAAAGTAGCCCCTCGAGGAAGACCGAAACGTGGTATTTAGGAGTTCAGATACCAATAGGTCGTTGCCGGAAATCGGAAGCCTGAGAGTTCCAAAGGAAGGCACAGTCAATAGTTGGACTACGACCTGGATCCGGTACGACGTCTGGCTTCAAAAACCAGAAGGAACTCATGGCCATCATGTAGTTCCCCAAGAGGCCACTCTACTGTACCTCGCGCCCATGCCAAAACTTTAAGCGGTTCCGTATGATCGACCCAAAAGCCAGTATCAACACATGACACAAGCCCGCTGGCATCCTCAGGGTCAAAGAGACTACCGCGAAGTTGAGCATCTTTGACATAGCGTATTGGGGACGCTTTCATGATCTCTTCCGCATGTTCCTTGATATAGTCAAGACGGACCGTGCCGATAGAGCCTGTGATATTCAGCGTCGAATCCAATAGTGACATTGACACGCGCTTACTTCCAAACGCTTTGGCAGCAGCCAGGCAGGCCGCGGGATGAGAGCTCATGATGCCGTATATGTCGTCGTCGTCGCGTCTGAGCTGATTCAAAAGACCCGTTGCAAGTCCTCGCTCTCGATAGTCTTCATGTACCACGAGCTGAGTAATCCAACATACAGTCTTACCATCGTATACCCAGCGGCAAGCGAACACGTTACCGACGAGGCGCCCGTTCACGGTGACTTTCCCGTAAGAGCATGTGGTGTCGTCGGGTAGGTAATCCGCTCGGAGTCTTTCCTGACCGAGTCGTACGTGACTACCTTTGTGTCTCTCAGCGGGTAAGCCAAACTGCCGAAAGCCAACTTACCAGCCTTTGCAAACTTGCCGAGCATCTGTGCAGCGTGCTCACTCCAGACGCCGTAGTGTTCACTGAAGAGCTGCGAGGCTTCCTGAAGCATACCCTCTGTGACCCGACTTCCGTCACATTTTTCAAACACCACTTGCGTCTCCATGTTCAAGTGCCTAGTTCATGTGCTTCTTCTAGGCTCAATGAACAGTAAATCAGGTCGTGCGGAGAAAGTAATGGGTTTGCGCGCGGCGCTGTCGATGTTCTCGTCAAAGAGCTGAAGCGATACTAAGGCATGTAGATAGCTTGAAAGACTTTGAATTCTGAGGTTACGTTGAATATACGGCGCTTCTTTGAGTCGAGGTGATTGAGGGAACGTGTTGGTCGTATTTGTTTGTGGTAATTAGCTCACTCGGCGTTTGCGAGCATTTGAGGCGCCAGGAAAGCTGAGATGTGACTCTCGGAACCACCCGACCACTCTGGGCCACAGTTTATCGTTGGATTATCTATTGGGTAAAATGTCCAGTGAGTTTTGAGATTGTGTATATAGTCTTGGTCTCTGCCCACCTGCATGTGTTCCTTTAGCAGTCCAGTCACATGGCCCTAGACGTTTTCGCCCCGAGTAAGACCTTTCAGAAATACTTGGCACATAGATTTTCCTTTGGCTATGTAATGCTAGTGTATATGCGTGCGATCAACCGACACCGTTCTTCTCGGATTTGGTTCGATTTCTCTAGTTTGCTCACCACATCTTTACCCAACTAGCAATCTGGTTCGTGCAGACTAGTCTTTCCTGAGCTTCATAGAGAACCTCACGATGAACACACAGACCCACCCTAAGCCAACACTTCTCATACCTTGGAAACCTCACATCACCCTCTCCCGAAAAGTGCACCTAAGCTCCGGCTTCTCCCATAGGGTATAACCTCTGGTATCCCTCTCCCAATCCACATCCTCGCTGTTAAACCAGCACAAATCGTATTTCCAGAACAACTTGGCGAGAACCATGCGCATTTCAAGGTACGCGAGACTGCTCGACCACATATCATATCAGCCACTTCCCGCCTATTGCTTCGTCTTACTCACGATCTCAACCATAACGGACACTGCGTTGGTGGGAATTCGGAGGATATGGTAGATAAATTGCAAGACTCACTTCCTTCCCAAACATCCTCTCGGTCCGTACGAAAATGGCAGACTTCGTTCTAACTTGTCGCCCCTTTGGCCCTCGGATGTGGTCTGGATCCAGCGCTCGGGGATGAACTGCGACGGCGCATGGAAATTCGTGGGGTCTCGGAGGACGGACCAGGGGTGGACTGATACACGGGTCTGGGTTGTAGGTGTGAGCATGAGAAATTGCCGTCGGTGAAGTATGATGAAGGAAGAGAAGAGAAAAGTCTTGGAAAAGAAGAAGAGGAAGAACAGGGGAGAAACATACACCTTCTGGGATAAATTTCCCGGAAATCTCACACCCGCCCTTTGGAACGATCCGGCTCAAATGGGCTGCACCAGCTGGGGAATAAATTCTCAAACCCTCTTCAACTACGGCGTTCAAATACACGCAGTCCAGCAAGCCCTTGCTATCGATAGCCTCGATGCTCGGAAACTTGCTACACAGCTCATCCTGTAGCCTGTTAAGGGCTTGACGATTATGGCCAAGATAGTACATAACGCCGGACAGCGGTGGTGACGGCGCCGGCCATCATGATGACGTTGTAGTGGGAAGCGATTTCTTTTGGGGTTGCAGCGAGGCCTTTGGCGTTGAGGATGTGGTACATGAAGTTTTTGCGGTCGGTCTGAAGTTTGAGGCGGCTTGAGGAACCGCCGCGTCAATTTGATCAAATTCCAGGAAAGTTTGCGGAAGGGGAGAGGAGAACTTACGCTTCGGTGTGCTCTGTTGCGTACTGAGCGTGCCGGTAGAGCGTTTGTTTGCTGTGAGCGGGCGGAAATCGTTCGAGGAAAGAGAATAAACCAGGAACACAAACAACAGCGCGCATGACGTCGTTCATGTAGGTGGAGTTGACAATCACGTCAGCCCAATGGTAACGATGCTCTCGACAGAAGGTCAGCCTCAAGTTTTGTGGACAACCCGAGAAAGACGACTACCTGCTTGCTCCTTCAATCGCAAATCCCAAGAATCGCCAAAGGACATTTCACCCATAATGTTGAAGGTCACATAGTTGAAATTTCGGACAATGTTGATTCCGTTTTTCCCATCCTCGCTCTCGATGCCGCCAATCGCGTCCAAGAAGTCATCAGTTCGGCGTATGAGGACGTCTTCATTCCGCATCAGATTGGACATGCTGAATGCAAAGCTAAGCATCCGCCTCATACGTGAGTGCTCTTCCCTGTCACATTCGTTGATGATGTTCATGGAGTGATCGACCTCTGGTGTGAAGAATCGAGGGTCCTTTTTCATAGAGGGGACGGTTTCCGTGCCGAAGCCGTAGACGATCTTTTGAGCGTGGTGGTCATTGAAGCTTAGGTGGTTCGGGGCGGTACGGACGATGGGACCTTATAGGTATCAGCATAGCTCATAATCAAATCGCATAGGAGACTAACCATATTTCTTGTGCCAGTCATGGTTCATCCATGGACCTCGGCCGCTGAGGAGAGCGTAGTACCAATATCCCTACGAACCTGTTAGGGGTCTAGATTCTGGTTATTGGACGTCTTTGTTGTCACATCGCTCCCTTTTGACAGCAACGGTCCCGGAAATCTCGCTAAGGGATGAAAGAAAAAGAGGTACGCAAGTCGTCCCAAAACAAGCGAGGCAGACTTTAAGAAATCAGCAAAGGAGCTTCCTGTGAAAGATATGGTTTTCAGGATGGTTGTCATACCAGGCCAATAGCCGGGGTTTCAAGAGCGAAGGGAAACATCTTAGTCGCAGTTTCTTGCTTCCGATTGATGAGAATTGCACAATTGCTTAAATTGCGTAAAAAGGAGCAAATGTGATGACGAGGTTTGGAAAGAATATTTTGATGAATTGTCCAAGTGGCTCATTTGAAATCTCCACCAAATTCCTGTGTTTTCGTTGCTGAGATCGATTGTCCTTACCCCACGTCGACAATGTGTCAGTATAGAGCACACCGTGGAGGGCAACGTTCAAATTAGACCATCCAACATGCAGTGGAGCTCCGACCGACAGTGATGTATGACACTCTGCCAGTTCATGCCGCTGACGCACACTGCACCTTCGGCGGCGCCGGGTTCTTCAAAGGAGCGAGATCTGCTCCGGAGGTCACATTTTAATCTCGTCCTGAAAATTGGTAACATTGACGCACATAAGCATCTCCCCTTGGGGCGTAAAGACTTGCATTGGATCCTCCGAGTGGAGATTGATGAGAGATGGCAGCTGCTGATGGTGCATACCGTGCATACCCTATTCTTCATAGCGTGGTCGTGGTCAGCCAAAAGTAAGATAGCCTGGCGCGTCAGAACCGGAATTCTTGACGGACGGGCCACTGCTGATGTTAGGAATTATTACCGGGTAAATTACAACTTCATACCCCAAAACCATACCCCTAATTACATTTTCATACCCCTCCACCAAATCTTGGGGTATGAAAATGTAATTTACTATTCCTTGGGGTATGAATATATAATTCACTAAACTACGTCTTTAAGCACCCGGTATCTTAGCGCCTCTAAAGAAGCCCCGAGAGCCTTAACCCCTAGAAAATTGAAGCCTAAATTTATCGCGGATTGGGGTGAGCTGGGGACGTCTTAGCCCCGGAGTGAGGGAAGAGTTCGACGAGATAGCGAACCCTAGAGATCTTCCGTTCGGGGCTCCCGAGGCCGGTCCGGGCTGATTCCGCAACCCCCAAGTTAATTCGCAACCCCCGAGCTGATTCGCGACCCCCGAGCTGATTTCGTAACCCCTTAAGCGAATTCCGCAACTTCAAATACCGGGTGCCATTCGGGTGCATGCTTGATACCCTTGGGTACGAGTACTACACCGGGCGCCCTATTTTTGAAAACTATGGCAAATTACATTTTCATACCCCATGGAATGGCAAATTACCGATTCATACCCCATTGAGGTAATTAGGGGTATGAATTTGTAAGGATCCAAGGTTTTGGGGTATGAATTTGTAATTTACCGAATCATATCCCTAATTACTAAATCATACCTCTATATTAAATTTCATTCAAATATAAAGTATAATCCGATAATTTATCATTGCTCGGGGTATGATTTAGTAAGTTTTTAAAGTAGCCTTAAACTACGAAGGAGATAATCCGCGATTTGATCTATTCGATTATAGAAATAAGGGAGTTTCTCCGCATTTGATGAGAATTCTATTAGTCTAAAACGTCAGACGAAAGCCGAGTAGGCGAGATTTCGAGCCCGGGAGTGTCCGCATTTCACGCTGCAGAGACCCCTATTCGGGCCTATATCGGGCCCCGTAGGGCCCCCGAAGGAATAATTCTTAATAATACGGTATCTACGCAACGGGGCGGGGGACCCGAAACGGGGCGAGACGGGGTAGGAGTTATAGGGCGTCACCAGGCGTGGCTTCCTTGCAGGCATTTGCAGCTAGCTACATGTAGAATAGCGGCTTGGCCTGGTGGGACATATATCCTGCAGCAGCCTTCCTGCTTCATAGATAATCAACACCTCCTACCCACCAGAACTCCTCTTCTTCAAATCTGTAGGCTTCGGGGGTCAAACCCCGCCTCGAGCCCCGCTCCGTTACGCAGCGTAATAATACCACCGTCATCAACTATCAGACGTTTAGTAAGATTAAGCCTACCGCTACCGCTACCGCTATCTATCAGATCGTCTTATATTAGAAAGCTATTATTTAAAATCCTCGTTAAATCATATTCCAAGCAATGGCAAATTATCGAATCATACCCCATTTTTTGATGTGATTTGATATAGGGGTATGATTCGGTAAGGATTCGTACTTTCGGGGTATGATTCGGTAATTTGCCAATCTTACAGCTCAAAGATTCATTGTAAGTTTTGTCATTGAAAACTTATAGTGCTGCGAAGTTGTGGGGTTTTCAATTTCGAGAAGTTCAGTACCGAGTACGAGTCATTTTCGAGACTTTTGATTGGCCAAGCCTTCGGCCAATAGCATGTGATCATATGTTGGGCATGATCGATCTCTGCCAAGGCCATGGGCCTTAGAGTAAGATTAGTGGCTTGGCACCGCCCACATCTCAACCTCTAGCTACACTTCTTCTTCAGGTTTGAATATCCTACCTAGTCTACCGTATGCTATAACTTTGACTCAACTCCAGGCTTGCTCTTGAAGGGTGTGTTTTATAAATTTCGTAGGACATCGGCTACTGCAAGAAGATCACTGTTACGCTACAGCTATTGCTGAAATCGATAGTTTACAGCAGGCCAACGATAACGTTCAGAGCACACTTCCTAACTTCGCTACATGAGCGAGATTTGTGGATTTGAGGCGGCTGCAAACATAGGGAATGGTTCATGGATTGAAGAGGAGTGACCGCTCATGGGAGTACATGTCAAAGAACGGCTACAGAGGGTTTTGAATACGCTACATGTACTACAAGCAGCCCACAACTTCCATGAACTAGCAACCAGCCGTTATACTGGATTTCATCAATGGTTTTGAGAGTATATGACACGATGTTCAGGCTTGATGCTCGAGCCTTACGGCTTCCAAAGCTCGAGCAAGCTCTGTTGTACTTCCTCATAGCATCATAAACAGCAGTCGCGCTTTGCCTTTGTTGTGGATGTAGAGATCAAGGGCACTATCTCCATCGCTCCACCATCCAGGCAGACCGCTTTTTCGATGCCTCTTTGACGTCGCGCACACCCAACGTCCGGACCCTTGTTCCAAACCTCGTGGAAGCCACAGAAAGACTTCGTGGGTGGGTCCCGTCTTCCGACCGATTGCTTGCCTCAAGAACCCAGTCAATATTGAATGTCATGTCGATCTGGACCCGCGTTATTCCCAGTCTATTTGTCCCCAGCAATGGTTTGCGGAGTCTTCGCTGTCTGCCAGGATCGATTTCTTCTTTGAAAGCTGGGCTGCGATCCGTCGAGCCTACATCTGTATGTATCAACCATACACATCACGCAATGTCTTTTTGATCCCCGTCTACATAGGGTCAGAGAATCTGATGCCAACAATCTGCGGGATTGTTTCTTGAAACACAAAATCTCCGAGCCGCTGCGAAACCAAGCCAATACAACATAGCAACATGACTTGGATCCCGCGTGGCGCTCGAATCTGATCTGACCTCTTTCATCATTGTTCCCCGATATCCATCTCGCAAACGTCGTACTGTCAAAGCCTTGTACCCTCCGACGATCTGGACATGTTTCAATGGTCCAGGCGCTTAGAGAAACACCAAATCTTTGGGGCGGCAAATTGAAACATTTTGAAACACCAACGCGAAATCGCATACTCCACATCCTACTTTCGCAATCTGCTTACTCGGCCGCCAAGAAGGGTCCGATTGTCTCGAACAACTTCCTTGCTAGATGGAACAATGTTCTGTGTGATGAAGGGTTTTGACCTTGCCGTTGAGCTGGGAGGAGAAATTTCCTTTTAAACGGACAACTCAACAGCTGCAGTGTCACCCACGGACTCTATAACACACAAAAGGGCAGAGCTAAACATTAACAAGCTTTAGTGGAATGCGTCGTTCGAGCCGCCATGACTTCAGAAATACGCAACGTTTCGGACATATCGCAGCTGCCAAAGGCGGGCAAATTAAGTACGTGCCGCACATACCACATACAAAAGACTCGTTATAATAATCCTTCCGAGATCCAATCTGCCGCATGCGGGGTAGATCGCAAGATTATCGTCGCGGGAAATTGATATGATATGTATACAGAGGGGCTCTCGCACTCCTCGCTTGACCTTGCACGCTCGTTACTGCGGACTTGAGACTCCTTGACGGACAAGTTACTCATTCATTTCTGATCGGTCCTCTGGCTAGGATCCCACTTTCATTTTAAACATTTATACAGATCTGATCCTTCGTCCCACCGACTCCGCAAAATGCGCTTCTTCCCTTCCTCATCGCACTCCTTCCTCCCAACTCTCCTCCTCCCCTTTACCACCCACCTCACCTCCATAACCGCCCAATCGAATCCCAACCCCATCCTCACCTCCTCCTTCACTTGGAACCCCACCTGCGGCCCCACCGTCGCCTGTGGCCCCTCCAGCGCCGGCTACTAGTACGTATTTGCGGAGTTCCTATTTGCCCTTTCGGACCTGGCCTTGAATTTTGAGAAACCCTTTGAGAGAGTCTACTCTGTAGAAAAACTTCGAAGCCTCAACCTAACCCCCTCAAATCAGCATGACTGACACGAAACCTATAATCCAGCGGCACCGGTTTCGCCGCCTCCAACAACCTCACCTACGCCGGCTGCGACAATCTTGGCGACGACACCGTCGACTGCGGCGCCGCCAGTATAGTTTCAGGCGTTGGAAAAGGCTGCGGCCAATGCTGGCACATCACGCCCCAAAGCGACTGGTACCCCTCCAACGGGCTCTCCGTGGGAACGAGCGTGGTGGTGAAGATCAACGACCAGTGCACGGATGCCGGGTATTGTGACCAGACGGAGGCGCATCCGGTCAATACGGGCTACGGGAAGGAGGTGCACATAGATTTGTGTGCGGAGAGCGGGGTCACGGAGCTGTTTTTTGGGGCGGTGGGGCCTGGGGTGGTGGTTGGGTTGGCGCAGTTGTTGCCGGATTGCTCGGCGTTGGATGATAGGTCGTATGGATCCGCGTTGGGGAATTTGGATGGTTCGTCGAGTGCAGCGTCGAGCTCGTCGGCAAGCTCTGGGAGTGCCTCGTCGAGCTCGGGTGGCGCTTCATCGTCGTCTTCTGGTGGTGGATCCTCGTCAAGCTCTGCAAGCAATTCGTCGGCAAGTTCTGGAAGTGGTTCGTCGTCAAGTTCTGGAAGCGATTCCTCTTCTTCATCCGGTGATGGATCGTCATCAAGCTCAGGAAGCGAGTCGTCGTCATCCTCTGGCAGTGGAACATCATCAAGCTCTGGAAGCGATTCATCGTCCAGCTCAGGAAGCGATTCCTCCTCGAGCTCTGAAAGCGATTCCTCCTCGAGCTCTGAAAGCGATTCCTCCTCGAGCTCTGAAAGCGATTCCTCCTCGAATTCTGGAAGCGATTCCTCTTCGAACTCCGGAAGCTCCTCATCCTCCAGCTCCGCCAGCGACTCATCCTCCCCAAACCCCGACACGGAACCACCAACCCTCGACGCCGTAACGAGCGGCAGCGGCAACTGGAGCTGGAGCGGCCCCAAAATGGCCAAACACAGGCTATCAAGAGGACACGACGGACCGAAAGCAGGGGCTAACATCGCAAGTGGGGCTCAAAACGGAGGATCCGACGATCGCGGCGGATCTCCATCTCCACCTCCGACGCCGACGACGCTGGTTCCTGTGGTCAGCAGCAGTACCGCGCCGGTGCCCGTTCGTTCGTCTTTGACGGGCGGTGACAATTCTGGGGAGCAGGATGGAGATGGGAAGGATGGTGAGTGTGGTGGGGAAGACGCCGGAGAATTGTGATGGAAGGGAGCGTGATGATGTTGATGTTTTATGGAGTAGTGGGAGGTGCGTCTCTTGAGCTGGTCCAAAGTGTGGCAGAAAAATTGCCTGAGGTAGTAGCGATAGTAGGATCGAGCCTCTTGGGAGTGTGACACAGCCTTGGGTGTCGAGTTAGCCAAGATCGCTCTAAAAGTTTCTAGGGAGGAATACTTCGCGAAAGAAGATTATGCCCGCTCCTATACCGAGGTGTTTAGCTTTCTTAGATTTGTACCGCTACATCTACATTGTTTTCTCCCCGCACGCCCAGCTATGATACCACAGCCAAAGCAGCGAATGCAACAAACAGGATCCAAACGCACGGTAAACAAACTGTCCGCCAAATACCGAACCACGAGAACGCGCAACACCTGTTGATCCTTTGTGCCACAATGGATCATCACCGCCAACAGTTCAAGATTTCATAACGCTAGAACACATACAATGCCATTATTCAGTCCAACGCTCCTCAGTAATTCTTAAGTTCCTTCAGCGTCCACTCCCACAACTACCCCGGCAACTGCTTGTTTGCCCTCGGCTTGCTTTTTGGTATTGACAAGGCCCCCACAGTCTCGTACAATTCGCCGTTGATGATGCCCCTTTATCGCCTGCGGCGGTCCAGAGCAGGTTGTAGCAGCCTCCTTTCGGAGGGATCATCTTGACGCTATCGGGGCGACAGTTAGCATATTTTGGTGGTTGATGCAAGTATTTGAGGCAATAACGAGTGGCAGAATGGGCGTCTTGCGCTAGATTGACTGCTGGGGAAAAAAAGCAGCTTGAACCGATTTCCCCGAGGTGTCTCGCACCCCGGGGTGCAGCGCAGAGGTAGACTCAGAATGTACGGACCCCTGAAACAAACACCCAACATGAACGACCAACTTCTCCGCTTTCTCTGTGCCTGATAGGAGTGCCATCATGTTGATACCCACTACCGCTGGCCGCAAGGGACTGCCCTGATCTGAGAGTACCCAGTCATTGACGAGGGCTCGCGATCGCCCTTTCTCGATGGCTTCAGCGGTGTGTTGGAGGATTGTGCTGCAATAGTGGTCCGGCCCTGCAGAAATGTGCGAAAATTGTCAACTATCTTTCACTGAGACTTATTTAGACGGACGACATGATGTATCGGTATCCACATCACAGTCCCGCTCGGGGAGCAGTATCTTAAGACAACTTACAGTCAAGGAAGATGGAGCGGGAGTAGTATGCACTGGCGTCTGGAGGGGAAATCAGTCAATTGTGATGAAAGAGTTTCTGGACTTCGTCGAACCTTTGATCGGCTGGGGAGTGAAAGAATCATGACTCACGGACTCCACGCCCGGTGCGGATTGTTCAATATCGTCAATCGTATCCGAAATCTCTGACGTCGATCATAAGCATCTGAGTGATCCTCTTGATCTTCTCGGCTTGAGTGAAGACTGCCGCTTGGCCGACGAGATTGTCCTTGAAGGCGCCGGAACAAGAGACGTCATTGAAGGTTCCTGGCCGCATCACCTGACACATCACACCCAGAAGGATCGACCCGAGTGTGAGTCGTTTGTCAAGAGAGAGGCAGATACTTGTGAGAGCGTTCCCTCTGTTCAACGAGTGTTAGCGTGCCCTCGGCTGACGACTATATCTTAGGTTATCATCCGGCCGGTACTTGCAAAATGGGCAACGACGATGGCCAAATGGCTGTGGTTGATGCGCAACTACGGGTACGAGGAGTTGATAATCTTCGGGTCGTAGATGCCAGCATCATGCCGACGCTGATGGGTGGGCACCCGCAGATGGCTGTTTATGCTATCGCGGAGAAAGCTGCCGACATGATCAAAAAGTTTGCCTAAGCTCCTGCATAAGATCTTTTCTTGCGATGATCGGCATGTTATAAGAATGCAGTTGATGCTAGCTCAGGCTTGTTCATATCCAGCCACTGACCTCTGGCTGAGCAAGGCTGAATCCGAGATCGTTTTGTTTGGACCACGGATAGGTGTTGATGTAGAAAAGAGGAGGGGTATTCCGATTGATTCATCTTGACTTACCGTTAAGATATCAATCGTGGGGCAACTGAAACCATCATCCAAGGGTAGAAAGCTAAAAAGGGATCCACATGAGTAGGAACTGACTCAAGGCCGTGGAGGAAAACTCCAACCCGTGGAGCTGCGTAATGACACAAGGATATCGCAGCACACCAAACAAGCATAGTGGACATGTTCGAAGCATCAAGCTCTGCCGTTCATGTCTATCCTTCTATTTTCCTTGTCCACGTAATCCACCAGATCTTCAATCGTACACACCTTCAGCCCCCACCTCTTTCCAAACTTCAAACACCCGTCTCTTCTCATCATACCCCCTTCCCTTCTCTCTGCCAGCCCTTCCACCTCTTCCCCATCTTCTACCAGTTCGCATATGACACCAGCAGGTCTCTTGCCCGCAAGCCGGCAGAACTCGACCGCGGCTTCTGTGTGTCCCTTGCGCTCCCGTACACCGCCGTCGCGAGCGCGGAGCGGAAAGACGTGGCCCGGGCGCCGAAAGCTTGTCGGACCTGAGTTCGGCGAAGCGAGTTGTCGACACGTGAGGGCGCGGTCATGTGCGGATATGCCGGTGGTTATGGAGGAGTCGGAAGCGTCGACGGAGAGCGTGTAGGCCGTGCGGTTGGGGTCGGCATTTTCGAGGACCATTTGGGGAAGTTCGAGTGTCTTTGCGAGATGTGAAGGTATGGGGGCGCAGATGAGGCCGCTGGAGAGAGGGTTTAGGATCGGTAGAAGCTACTTAGGGAAAAGACTGGAGAGGAGAAGAGAAGCGATTACCTCGTATGCTTAATCATGAAAGCCATCTTCTCCGTTGTAACGTCCTCTGCGGCAATTATGAGGTCCCCCTCATTTTCGCGATCGGTTGAGTCGAGGACTACAATAAAATCACCGTTTCTGAATGCGCCGATGCTATCTTGGATGCTATCGAAGTGCAGCTTGGACTCTCCATTGGGTAGCATCTGCACGCGGTGCTACTGCAACGGAAACTTCTCTCTGCACTGGTATATTAAAAGTTTCACGCGGTAAAGGATGTGATTTGACTGCGAGCACCCCTTCCGATCTGACAGGTTGGCTTGATCGTCGCAAGATTTTTCAACGTTTGGGATTCATAGACGATGCAGTCTAGGAGAGGCGAGGAGGTAGCTTCGAGACTTCGCACTCGGGTATAAGTATGGCAACGAAAGATTTCTAATGATGAGTCCGCCATGTCGTAAGCATTGAAGGTTGGAGAGAGTTCCGGAGTTCGGACCAAGCCGAGAAGATACGCCGCCCGAGCATCCATGCTGCAGATCTCGTGCATCTGTTCAACTCACCAAGTCTCTACCACACCTTGCGTCCTCCGTTAACTTCAATGGATCACCGTCACTATCAATTGGCTCTGACATTAATTAAATTCTCAGACCATAGTCATACGAGGCTCTTCCATATTCGAAGTGTGACCCCCGGAACATTACGAATATGTCTCCTATAAGAAGAGAACGCCGAATCAAGCATTCCTGCAGGCTGCAGATCTACGGAGTCTGTTGCTGGCAGGGTATATCGGCGGTCGCCCAGGTGGCCGATCGATACTTCGTCTTCGAGGAAACCCCTGTTCCTCCGTGAACTACTCCAGGACCCATTTAAGTGCTAGCATGTCCACTCTGCCTAAATCCAGAACCCCCAAGACCCGCCTATCGCGACTTGACACATGAGAAGACCTCCTGAGGCGTGTGCAGCGTACTGCTATACTTGTCCAGGAGCCCGAAATCTCCAGGAACCCTTTCAATAGCCACCTGGCTCGGTGCCCTACATGCTATATGACTTATACCGTACATCATTATCCGTGCAACTGCCCTCCCCGACCGCCAACCACTCGATGCGATGAAGACCGACCTCCGTGATGAGTTCAACGACCATCTGCCTCCTCTCTCCCACCTCGCAAAGCGTACGAAGCCCCTTGTTGCACAAGTACCTGCTGGACAATACGCTACATACATTGCATTGGCAAAGGTTCTATCACAAGAGATGAGGTGTGATGCCAAGGCTGGCTTTTGGTGGTGATGTTGAAAAGAGCATGTCGTGCCTACTTGTGCCAGATCACAGGCTTGTGGCCGCGAACGGTGGCCTGGGAAGGGAAGTCGACTATGGACACTATAGGGCTACTGTTGGAGGAAGTATAGAATTGCTAAGAGACGAGGGTATGAGGTTTGACCTCAATGGAGACTTGCTAGGAGGCATGTCCTTGGAGCTCCAGTAGCGGAGATCTGGCTTGGAGTGAATGAAAAACTGTATCAACGATTCGACTGCCACCAGCTGCTCAGCGTGAGGCGTAGATGGCGTAACGCCTCTAATTCTGATACAAAAGACATGCCTCCGACTTCTTCGGGCGCTGGATGAAGCAACATGATTAAGACTATCGATGCTTGGTTGGGAATATGGACTATTGGACAAGACTTCACAGCGGTGCAGCCGAAGCTAAAAGCTGTTCGCATCTGCTTCAAAGGTCATCTATCTTGACGTGGGCATATTAGGTAGAGCTGTCCGGAAGGTCACATTGGCAAGATGGGAGAAAATGGGTGAGAACATTCAAGGAAAGAGTATTATGTTCGTTGGATTGAGTAATCTAGATACATCAAAGCGTCGAACCAACACCACCCAGAAGGCAATACAGATCGACATCCACCTCCCTGAATCCAATTTCCTTGCCGATTTCATCCGATCAATCCTTTTGAAACCGCCTAGATCATCCTTCCGTAAACGAATCGACACGAGTACCAACTAGCAAGACCTCCGATTGAAACCTTTCGTTAGTTCTCATCGACCTGGCAAGAGACTGCGAGTGAACGAACTTGCCAAGAACAATTCCATCGAAGCCGATGCATTAGCGCAAAGCTGGTTGGAGTACAGTGTGACAGGCACCGCGACATCCGGGACTGGACTTCGTTTCGCCCTGCGAAGCTGAGCTACTTATCCCCAGCACCGCGGAAAGGTGCCAGTCCGTTGCTGGAGGGGCGCTCCCTTGGTCAGCGCCTCCCGCCAGAGCCCTGGGTTTCTAGACGCTCGGGATGGCAGGATACTTGGTATTGTGAGAGATGCGGTGGTAGAATTGAGGTGTGACTCCTTTTGGAGTCTTGAAACATGAGCTTTTTGTGGTAATGGTCATGTTTCAGGTGGTGGTGGGTTTTTTTTCTTGTTTTTTGTTTTGTGGTGGCGGTAGTGGCAAGAATCCGTTTCGGTCGGCCTGTGATTTAGGTCGGCCTGGATTCGTGCCGTTTTTTTTGGGAGACATCCGTTGGGTCATCTTGTGACTGAGGGATGTTTCGGAGTCTCATGGTATCGTTCGTGGGAGTGACGCCGACGGCATGGCCCTATTGACAGTCGAAATGCCCGCAGAGGTGCCTTCATAGCGTCTATGGCTCCCAGTTGTTTGGTGGTGCAGGTGAGAAGATCTTGCCATGGATCTTGCGGACGGTGTTTTTGTGCATTTCCGCTTGGTGAATCCTTTGGTCGGAAGATCTTCTGGTGGATTTTTTGGTGAGAAGACCTTGCCATCGATCTTGTGGACAGCGCACTTCCACTTGGTGAATTTTTTGCTGGGAAGATCTTGCCATGGATCTTCGCGGACGGTGTTTTTTGAGCCCCTCCGTTTGGTGTATGCTTGGTGGAAGATCTTGCCATCGATCTCCGTACGGATGGTATTTGTCAATGCCTTCCGTTAAACACATGGTTGCGGTATCGCTCCGGACTACCTTCATGCTCGTTCTCGTTCGGCGCACCTAGGTCAATGCAGCGAAATGTTCCTTGACTCGTTTATACATCTTGTTGGCTGCCTCGAAACTACTTCTCTTCTGCTTCTTCCTTCCCTTGCCCACTTCAGCTTCCGAGGACGAACTACTGTCAATCCTCCACACGATCGCGTCCGATAGAGGGTCCACATCCACTACAAACATCTCACCCAGAGGCCCAACAAGACCTGGTCTCTCCATGGCATTTTCCTTGTTTTTCACGACTAAATCTTGGTCAGCGTTCCACAATGCCATCGCTATCAAGAGAGATGAATACTTACTGCCACGTCCGGTGAAACCCGAATCCCAGTCTATCGGGCGAAAAGATTTCTTGATTGGCAAGCACCATTGGCGCCAATGAGCCTTTTCCTCCTCTGACTCAGGGCCCCAATAGTCATATGGTCTCTCCTCGATTAGGCCCTTGCTCACCTTCTCATAGTAGTCCCGGATCTCGAAAGAGAGAATGGGGTAGCAACCCATGTTGAAGTCCATATTGGATGATGGGGGGGGAAGATGTTATGGTGGTAGCGGTGGTAGGAAGGGTATATGTCTTTCACAAAACCCAAGATTATGGCAGTGGCCGTGGTAATCTACCTTCACAGTGCGAGGTTTCACAGAGGATGTGGCAGTGGTGGTGGCAATGTTATCTGTCACTCACTATGCAAGGTGTTTGTGGTAATGTGGCAGTAGCAATGTGAATGTGTATGTGGCATTTAGACAGATACTGTGTTCCTGACTGTGGTTGAAGGAGAGAAGGAGGAAACGGGGAAATGGGTAAATTTATGTGTGAGCCAAGACATATGAAACTTCGTGAGTCAGATAACGCTCTCAATCCCCGCAAAATTTATCTACGAGCGTATAGAAAGATAAAGCTCATTCTTGGCCCTTCCTAGCCACTCTTCTTTCTGCCATATACAGCGCTCCCACAGCCTTAACACTGGAAGCGCAACCTGGCTCCTTTATATTTATTCATACAGCAGTCATCTTCAATGAAGTCACGGATGATACGGCGAGGCAGCCAAGGCCAATTGGTAAAGTCAGAGGCAATTCTATAGGTTTCTCAACCTGCTCATTCTTACACGCCAAGAAGAAAGAATCTTTGCGTCTTTCTGGAACATTCTCCTAGACGCGATAACTGGAATGACTAACCTTGGTCACATATTACTTTTTACCTTGGAAGTGAAGCCGAGTGATTTCTCGCTGTCATTGCGCTGGAAGCAATCACTGCTGCTGTTGCGTGGCTTTTGGTTCGATACCGTTCTTATTGTAGACGGATCACATAGTAGGTACGTAGGGCCCTCTTAATTAGTCATCATTCTCATTGTATTTTGAGCTTCATGCAGATTGCCGCTCTGAAGACTTCTACAGTCTCACACCGTCACAAACTCACATCTCTGCATCAACCATACACATTATGCCACCTTGTATCCCGCAACCGTTCACTTCACCTTCATCAGACTTTTCACCGACCACTTCACCCTCGGTCTCATCGGCATCGCCACTTTCGACGTTTCATCGTGAGTGAATTCTTACACATCGACCCTAGTCTCCAAGTCATCAACTGGACGTATGGTACTATTACCGTAGCATTAACCCTCTGGATACAATCCAGCCAGTCCTTGCCGTTTTAGCTCCAGTGTTGGAGGGGAAGGTGCGGCCGGGTATCTTGAGCTAGAGAGTCTCGTCGACGCAGTTTGCAAGAAAGATGCCTAGGAGATAGGAAAGCGCAAGGACGTGATCGACGGAGCACTCACAACGCTCAAGCCTACCATGGCGTCGAAGGTCCTTGGATTCCAGGTCCTTGCCTGTTTCTTTCATGCTGCAACCTGCGCGCTCCGTGTCGTGGCACAAACTTCTAGTACTGGCATCATTATCAGCAGCAGCAGCACCACTCCCTCCCCTCCAACACGCCAAGTGCTGCTATTAGTAGAGCAGCACGAGAAACCGCATTGGAATGTTTCTCAACTTCCGGCCTGGCACTTCCACTCGCGGAGAGCCTGCCTTCACTTGTAAAATCTCACTTGATAATACTTACTTCGAGCCACACCAAAGCCAAGATTCAGAGTGTCATGTCGGTGAGACCGGAAGGGGGTTGGCTAAGTTTAGGATTTGCCTTGGTGTTTCGCTCCTCCGGGGTCGTTTCATGTCTTGGCATTCTTGGCTCCGCGCCAAGTGTGACGGACGCGGACGCGGCTATCTTGAAGAGAAACGCCTTGGGTGATGAACGAGGACGAGGGGAGGTAGGTGGTAGGTGTTTTAAAACTGTTCCAGGTACGGATCTTAATATACATATATACTGGCTGGTTGGCTATGGATGGCGACTGGATGCCTGAGGGAGATGTGTGGGTTTGACGTACGAGGAAGATTGAGAAGTAAATATAGCATACTCTTGAACGCAATCGAGCACATCAATGGGATGATCGTTCCTTCAGGATTTCTCAACACCGATACCTATTCAACACGGACTGTCAATGGGACTGGCAAAAAGGTTCGAAGTGAATTGCAATATCTTTTTCTTGGCATGGGTATTTAATGCACTTTCTGACCTTCCTACTTTCTTCCTCCATCGTTACACAACAACAGGAACATACTGGTACAATTCAAAGTGCAGAGCAGCATTGATAGTACAATGATCTGTTAGCATCTCTTTCTATCATCAGCAAAGCTCCAGCTACGTCACATCGGTTCCTTGTCAACACAACAATACCTCAACCTCTTCAGCACCAAGCTCTTGATATACCACGCACATCGCTCTTCCACAATCACAACATCAAGAGACCATACACACCGCTACTTCTCATCTTGCCAAAGCAACCTGGATAGTACAATATCATCGTCAGCAACTGCGTGTCTCGTTAGCAAGACTCTTGCTACATCACAGTTGTGCAAACGACAACACATCCTCGGTACCCCGCACATCTACACCTCCAACACCTTATCACATACCTCATTCAACAATTCCTTCTTCTCATTCCACCAACCCCTCGACACCAACCTCTCAACTCTCTCAGATTTCCTCAACAACGCACTCATCCACAAGACAAGAATCCAATAAAATGACCACAGCAGCAACTCAAGCAAAGCCACAGTCAAACACCATGCCAGACCCTGCGGATCCCAGTCAACGGCACAACGGCCATGTAGCAGTAGTAAGCAACACAAAGTGGGATTCCAGACCTTGTTGGTCAGGACACAAGGCACGGGTGGAAAAGTACCTTCCTGACATGCTCGAGTATTACGAGGACCGGAGTACTGGGAAGATCGAAGAAACCCCCTTTGATGGGTGGGAAGATGAGGTGTGCGAGCTTGGAGCAGCAAGGTTGAATGCGATAGCAACTAGCTATGTCGAACAAGCATTTTTCAAAATGGACTACACCCATGGGTTTACGGGACGAGGAGGTAAGTTGGCTCCTTGCTGGTTCTCATGACATGGGATGGTACGCTTACGAAGGTGTAGTGTTGCCGGGAGCGTTGGAGACACCATGTCTTGTTGGACCGCGGAACGAAACACTCGAAGACGATGTTGGTCCCTTTGGAGAGTCGAGGGATGAACAGGTCGACCGGCCCCTTTGGAGAGCGATAGATAACGGAATGATCGCTCCTTCGAGAGAGTCAGAAGACGACGACGATATCGGTCCTTCGGGAGAGCCGAGGGACGACGAAGAAGTTGGTCCCTTTGGAGAATCCAGAGCTGAAGACAAAGGTCTTCGCCAAGGTCACCGTGGGGAGGAAAAAGAAGAGGAAAAAGAAGAATGCGGCAGCCCTGAAAACATGACCGAACTCATGCAGCTGGCCGCAAAGTCTGTGGGGATAATGTCAGGGGTCCCCGCCGATACAGGAGATGCCTCATCCTCTCGTACCGCCACCATTCTCCCTACAGAGACGCAGGCACCACTTACCTCCCCACATCCCCCACTTGCATCAACGAGGTCTACACCATCAAAAAAGCGAGCAAGGGACTGGGAAGACGACGCAAAAGACGAAGAGTTCCCGTCACAGCAAAAGCGAGTGCGTATGGATGGAATCCTAGGGATTGTTAGAAAGGATGCCAATGCTCCCAAAAGTCCCCAGAACGTCGAAACAGTCATGACGCCAGAGACACAGCAGTCTAGGAAGCGAGCAAGGAGTGTTGACGATAACTCCGAGGATGGTGAGACCAAGCCGACACGAAAGCGCCTACGCCTCTACCAGCAAATAGAGGAGGTCCGTGAGAGTGATGAAGAGTACATCACTGATGGCCAGACTGATGTTGCCAACAATGACGAATCGACCCTCGTCTATCAGGACAGCTCGAGATGCGAGACACAAGAAGTCGCCAAGGTCGAAAAAGATGCCACAAGAATGCAATTCCACAAGCGACCCTCCGTCGAGGATGAGAGCCCCACCAATGAAGAGGAGGCATTGGGCCAGGAGACTCCTTCAGCAGAAACCGCACTCCCTGCCGAGGAAGAGTGGGACACCGCACATGGTATCAACTCCAAGTGTGCAAACATACGCGTTTCCGGGCAAGGCGTGTGGACCGTTATCGGGAAGTGGAGGAATCTCTATCTTCCCACATCCACAGGCTTACCTGACAGACCCTGGACTGAGGAAGAGAAAGAAGATCTCCGGGTTTACGTCCAAGACTATAGAATCAAAAATTGGGCACTGTTATCTCGGTCCACGAATAGGCCTGAGGAGGAGTTACAGGACATGTACCGTGAGGTCGCCACCGCCCGAAACATCCAGGCTGGACGACCTGAACGCGCCGGAATCCCAGAGAGAGATTCCCATTCCGCTCCGCCGCCAGAGCCCCGAAAGCTTCGATCTCGTAGTCAGAAAGGCAAGAAGACCAAGAAGAACAACCTCGGTGACCTCACGTACGACGTGAAAGCAACAAGCTTCCCGAAGATTACGAAGGATGGAGGCATGGTGGACTCAAAGGGGGATACTCTTCTCGGAATCATGGGTGATATCTCCAGCGCTACAAAGCGTCGGCAGCCGAAGCCAAAGCAGGAGGACGCTAGCAGCAGCTTTGGAGGCGCGGAGGATTCTAAAAACCATGAATCCTCCGAGGCGGAAATGGAGGATGGTAGCGGATCGGAGATCGAAGAAGGGGAGATTATCGAGTCCGCAGAGCGAAGTCGTGAACAAGCGCCATCGCCATCGCCATCGCCAACGCCATCGCCAGAGCCTATGAGCAAGACGGGTCCCCTGAACGCCAGCGTGGAGGAAGAAGAAGAAGATCCAAAGGCCAAGCAAGAAGACCCTGATCAGGGGCAGCAAGTGCCAACCCGGCCAACATCCGAAGTCGAGACAACCTCGGCCAGAGGTCCTCTGGGTCCCAAATTCGCCGGAGTTTGCAAACTGTCTGGGTCGTCACGTCGGGGTGTACCGCGGAATGCGGCAGGGTTGAGGAAGCGGTCGCCAGAGTAGGGTGAACGCTGGACGGAGAGGACTCCCACCGAGCTGTGCGATGCTGGTCTTGTTGGATACGCGCACAAAGCTTGTTTGTGGGATGAAGGAGACTGCCATGGGGTATCTTGGCAGGACGGTCGTTGATTATTGGGGGCGTCAGTCCATGGTTACGGAGGGACAGGTATGAGGTTGGTGGATTTTGGATCAGGGTTCGGCATGAAAGCCGCACGTTTTCGGTGGAGCGTTGAGTCGGGCATTTCATACCGGGTTTCGGGAAGTTCATAGTCTCAGCATTGTCGATAGTTCGTTAGGAGAAAAGAATTCATCATGAAAGCCTTCTTCGATATCGTAAATGACGATCGAACAGGGAACAGGCATCTTACAAGCCAACTGAGAACCTTGGCTGTAGATGCGCGTATAAGACGAGGCGGAATACAGTCTTGAATAAACCTGAGAATGCATGTGTGACCCGTCCCATGGATTTGCATAATGTATCTGGTTCATGTAGTGAAGTATTTCAGGCAAATGGAGGCTGTGTGTGGAGAGGTGGAGGATCTACCAAGAGCGACGCTATTGGTGCTATCTTTAAGGTATCATTGGCTACTGGGAGCTAGGAGCGTGCCGTACCTGGTGCCCGATTGTCCTTGGAACAACGGAATTTCGTCGCTGTACTTTACTTCAACCATGTTGGAATTGAAGCTGAGAATGCCTCACATCCTGTCAAGATGTCAAAAACTAAAGTGACTGAATGGAGGATCATTAATTTGCTTACATTGCCTGAAAAGTGCTTGCAATATCTGGGATGATGAAGCAAAGCAGGGCAGTCAGAGCGCATCAACTCTTCTTACTAGGGTACCGTTGGCTAATGTCTGCCGGAGTCGATTGCGGTCTCTGGTGCGTCATCTCATGCCCATAGTCTAATCTTCAACCCCCCTCCAAAGTCGAATGAAGCTCAGGACAACCAACGAACGTGAACGGAGCGTTGAAGCCGTGGATAAGGGCACGCCATACAAGGTGCCCAGATTACAGTGCATAAGTGATAACGCAAGTTATGCAGATTTAGCTTCTTTGCTGTTAAGAGGAGTCAGGCTGATTGGTGAGTTATTCCTTCAAATGTCTTATCTTCGCTACCCACACCTGCATGACCGAAGGTTGCAGGCTGTCTGATAATGAGAGTATGCTAATGGAGCGGCTAGGAACATCCCAAGGATTGCGCATGTGAACAGGCGCGGAGATAGCGCCTGTTTAATCCCTCGCGCCCTGCTCACAAGAACATAAAGTATGCACGATCAATTGTATTATACAGAGCAGTTAGATTGTTATTGACTACCCTTGTGACTTTGCTTCGCTTGCCTGTGACCCACGAACTCTCCATCTGAGGCTAAAATGTTTTAGCTGAGAAAGAAGTTTTTCATCTGGCTTCACTTTTCGCCTATGCTTCTACCCTGCAGCTTCTTCATCGACCAAATTTGCCTAACGGCGGGATCCTGCTAAGGAACGCACTCTGAAAGTTCCAATCGAACAAATCAGATATATGGCGGAGAACTCATTCGTACCTGGGACTATACACCTAGTGGACATACAAGGTACTCTAAGGGCAAAGCACGCGTCGGGTGGTCAAAACGATGTTGTCTTGATCCCAGCTCCGTCTGACGACCCTGACGACCCCTTGAACTGGTCGGCTAAACGGAAGTTGCTGTCGACAGCAAGCATTGCTATGTACGTATGTCACCTGCTTCTGTATCATATATTAATGCTTCTGACTAGCTATACGTTCGCTATCGGCACTAGCTCCGCAGCCATATACTCAATCCTAGAGCCCATAGAGAATGATACTGGTTTGACCTTGAACGACCTTAATGCAGGGACAGGTTATATGGTCTGAAAAGTTCAGTGCCTCTGCAGTTTCGATGCTGAAGAATCGCAGTTTTTACTGTTTGGGTGGGGATGCTTGTTCTGGCAGCCCCTTGCGCTACAATATGGGAAGCGACCGGTGTATCTAATCTCGACGCTCGCAACAGCAGTGAGTCCCAGGCCAACTCGATTCATTTGGTTCTCAAATTTAACGCTTCAGTACAGGCCATCATGGTGTGGGTGCCCTATACGAACACCAATGGTCAATGGATCGCCAGCAAGCTGCTACAAGGGTTTTTTGGGGCTCCAGTTGAATCTTTGTGTGAGATATCCGTAACAGATATTGCATGTCACCTAGTGAAAACGCTCTTGGCTTCACGTTCTGATTCCTTCAGTATTTCACACACGAAAGGGGGACTTACATAGCGGTCTACGGCTTTTTCCTCATCGGTAGTGATTTCCTCGCTCCACTCTTTGCAGGGTTTATCAATGAGGGACAAGGATGGAGATGGGTCTTGGTAAGAGAATTTTTGATGAGTACAGCCCCACTTTGAGCTGATCCTCATAGTACTGGTGCGCAATCCTCAGCGGCATTAGCTCCGTCTTCCTATTTTTCTTCATGGAAGAAACAAACTATCACCGCAAGGTGCTTGCTGGCAACGAGATGAAGAAGAATGGAAGTGTTGGCCCAGTAATCCACGATTCGGATATACGAGATGATGCTGTTCAAAAACACAACATGGATACTGAGTTGCACGTGTCAACCATCACCAATGAAGAAGGTAGACCTGATAATGTGCCGAGGAAAAAATCATTCTACCACAAGCTGAAGGTTTTTGACAAGCAGGAGTTACGGTACCCAAATCGGTTGAAAGACATGGTACTAAGGCCGCTCATATTCCTAAGCTTCCCCGTGATATTCTACGCAGGGTTCTCCTACGGGTCTAATCTCGTCTGGTTCAACGTCCTCAATGGCACAGCTTCACTCATCCTTTCGGGAAAGCCATACGGATTTTCTTCCTCGATTGTTGGACTCGCCTACATTTCTCCCTTGATCGGGATGACCCTCGGGTAACTCCGCCTCATTAGACTTGGCCCTTAGCTGTAGACTCCGCTGACCCCGAGTCCAGATCGTTATATACAGGCGGGGTAGGAGACTGGCTCGTTCTTAAGCTGGCGAGACGAAACCGAGGCATCATGCAGTCCGAGTACCGTCTTTGGCTCTTCAGCCTATCCGTACCTCTCGTTCCCGCGGGTCTGATCCTCTGGGGCGTTGGAGCTGCGCACAACGTACAGTGGTTCGGCTTGATCTTTGCCATGGGTGTCATTGCTTTCACCAACACCGTCGGGCTTCAACTTTCCGTCAGCTACTGCATCGATTCTTACCGAGAGCTGAGTGGCGAAGCCATGGTGACTGTCATTCTCATCCGCAACACAATGAGTTTTGCCATCGGTTACGGGTGAGTCATTTGATGAACAGATGCACCCGGGCAGATCTCTGACAAACTCGGCAGCATCACGCCGTGGGTCGCCCGGATGGGACTACAGAATGCGTTCATCGTCGCCGCGTTCGCGGGTCTGGCGCAAGTCCTCACGGTATTTTTCTTCATTCGATACGGGCAGAGTATGAGACAAGGAAGCGTTGGTAGATATCAGCATTACAGGGAGGAGATGATGGCTGCGGGTCTAAGTCATTAGCTACTACGGCCTCCTGCCTCCGAGAAATCGTGCGAAAGCCTCGTCATGAGCCGAAATCACTAGTCACAAATTGCATCTCCTAAGGCGGTCTGTGATACTGATGCTGGCGAGGTTTTCCTACCACCAACCATATCTTCTGGTGAGGTACCATCTCACCCTTTGCATTATAAGAACAATGTGGACTCTGAAAACCCTAGAACCGTGCTTCTATCCCAAACCTAAGTAGGAAAAATATCATTCTAAACGATACCAACAAACTTGAATGTCTGTAACAGAACTCCAGCCCCGTCTTGGAAGAAAACAATGATATCTTTTTAGAGATATGACCGACAGTCTTGATAGTAGATCTGTGCTGCATGAGTACCGAGGATGTCTACGACGGCATCTGCAGTCTCGGCCTCTACCCGTCTGAATTCGGACCGCCTTTACAATCATCAACTCGGGATGCGATCCGCTCTCCTAGGTGGATCACCCCTCACCAACCAATCGCTCATCCTACAGGTACCAACCTGCACGACCAGTCAATCAAGTGTTGGCGAAGCCACACTTCCTGTGATTCGTTCCGAGCTTGAGCACATACCCTCTCTGCAAAGATATCGTGATGTCATTGGTGGACTACCGAGGGGAGAAAAGGCACAGATCTGACCTAAGATGCGGGTTCGGGAAGCACCGCCGGCCGTTTGCTCTCAAGACATAGCTTGCAACTTAAACTATGCTATCGATCTACCCAGGGTAAAAATCATTCCAAAAGGCCATACTGAGGTTCGGTATCAATGTGCGCGGTGTACTGTAAACTGTCACTTCCCTGGCAGTAAATTCTTGCCGGACCCAGGTCGTACGTAGTCAAATTTCGAAAGCAGACCCTTAGATAGCATTTCCAGGCCACTATGCTAACTTATAAAATCATACCCCTGTAGATGGTAACTTACAAGTTCATACCCCAGTGGATATGAATCTGTAAGAATCCCATAGTTTGGGGTATGAAAATGTAGTTTGCCCTGTGGTTTCTCTACCGAGTGCCCATAGAAGGGTGTGGGGTCAGCGTCGCTTCTCGGAGGTGATGTTGTTTTTTTTTTTTTTTTTTTTTTCATGAACCCTATGCGTGTGGGGAAGTGAGAGGAGATCCCTCCAAGCGTACGTACCTTCGAACCCTAGAGGAGGCAAGAGGAGTCCCGTGGCCCGGTTTCTTAAGGATCGGATTAGTATCACTACTCACCGGCGTTGCGTCGCCGAAGTAGATTCGGGTCGGATTACTATCAGTGACTTTTAGTCATGGGAGGAAAATCATACCCCAAAGTCGGGTCATTGTGGAGGAGCCTGACACTGATCTCATCAGTGGAATCTGGTGATTTTAGAGTCATGGCTGATGAGGCAAATTTTAATAAATATATAAGTTCCGAATCATACACTACCAGTAATAGTACGAAACGAAATTTTTTTTTTTTTTTTTATTTTTTTCCTTTTTTTTTTTCCTTTTTAATTTTCCAAATCTCCCCAAGGTGAAATTACCGAATCATACCCCATTTTTTGGTGTGATTTGGCTAGGGTATGATTCGGTAATTAGTAATTCGCCCGCTGATGAGGCTGGTTCGGGGAGGACTGCCAAGAGCCTAGCTCTTACAGGCAGGACTCATGTACTACTGTACCATATCAGGTGCCAGCGCACCCAGTTTCTATGGAAAACCGGTAAAATAAAGTCCCTCACTCTACAAAATCCATGTGCAGTCGAATATATCTCATGTGACTTGCACTGTGCTTCTGAACGAATAGATCTTTACGAAGACCTTATCCAACTTTAGACTCACCCCCACTCGGTACACGTCTATATCCTGGAGTTTGTCGCTGCAGAGGCTTAGGGTGTTGGCTATTATGAACGGGTCGAAACGTATTCCGACTATTTCTACTCAATTACTCAAGAGGGTTTACCACATTCATTGGAAACGGATGAACAACATCCGAGAGATATGTCGAGCATTTGCATTGCTCATCATGTCCACCTTTTCTTTCTCGGGACGCAATCCTAGTGGACAATGCATCCATCATTCCTTCCCAGTGTTTCGGCCCCTAGCGGATCCCAGTCGGCTTCCTGCAAGTATTTGGCCGATCTGCGGGGTGAAAGGAACAACAGAAACCAGACGGGGCATGAGATGGGATGTAGTTGGATATGATTGGCTGTTTACGGGCCTTCCATGTCAGTATCGATGCACATTCTCCGCTTTTGGGCAATGCTCGGTCCACGGACATGCGCATCATCGCATATGAGCATGATAATATTACTGGCGACTTTTGAACACATGATAGGTGACTTGATGAGTGGATGACGACTGCAGCGTTTGGAACCCATGATCCGATTGCGCATCCAGGTGGCGACCGTCTTGCTTCTTCAAGTACCCTTCTCGGCTCTATCCCGAGAGCAAGGTCGTCCGAGTCTCCTCGTACGAAGTCCTCGTACAAAGAAGAAGTTCTCTGCACCGTCCATCGTCCATCATCCCTCACTGTTTTATCATCCTCGCCTGCATCCTATCCGACCTTCATAGTTGCTGGCGTACTCTCAACCTAAATCACACCATAGATCTGTCTTCATTAAACGCTAAAGTTCCGTCAAGCATGGTTTTCATGGAATCTGTCCCTGTGGTGCCTGTGACCCACGTCATTCTTGCCTTTGGAACACTGGTATCTGATTCTATAATCATGATTTGCGTGCACTCTCGTCCATGCTGATGTTGCTCCAGTGGGCTCTTTATCTCTGTGGTCGGATCACCTACAACGTCTACTGGCATCCACTGGCAAAGTTCCCTGGTCCCAAGCTGCACGTAGCAACCTTCATTCCGTACTACTGGGCTACGTGGCTGGGAAATCTAAACATGTCCACAAGGAAACTCCACGATCGTTACGGTCATGTAGTCCGCATCAACCCGAATACACTGTCATTTGTTAGTGCTCAATCATGGAAAGACATCCACGGACACCGCCCTGGCCGGATACAGCTGCCAAAGAACAGGGAAGCCTTGGAAGAAAAGAATCAACCTCCATCTATCGCTAGTATCATAGGCGACGCAGACCATGCCAGAGTACGAGGACTAATTTCCCCTGCTTTCTCGGAACGGGCGATGCGGGAACAGGAGTCGCTGATTATGGGGTACATCGATCTCTTGATACAAAGGCTGAAGGCTCAAATTCAAGGTCCGAATAAGGGCGAGGTAGACCTAGTCCGATGGTACAACTTCACCACTTTCGACATAGTCGGCGACCTCGCGCTCGGCGAACCTTTCGGCAGTCTTGAGAGCGGTGAATATCATTTCTGGATATCCAACATCTTCAGGGGCATCAAGACAACGAATATACTTGCAATCGGCAACGCATACCCTATCATAGGAGCCCTGATTTCTTGCGCTTTTAGGCTCTCCCCTAAAGCTGGTGAAGCTCGACAAAGGCATAGGGAGTACAGCAAAGTGGCTTTGCAGAGAAGAATGGCAAAGAAGGTCGAAAAGAAAGATTTCATGTCATATATCCTGCGTCGCAAAGATGAAAGCGGACTGACAGACGATGAGCTCAACGAAAATGCTTCCATCTTGATACTAGCAGGGTCCGAAACTACGGCGACACTCTTGTCTGGAGCTACTTACTACCTCTTGACGAACAAGGTGGCTCTGGACAAAGTCTGTGACGAAGTCCGCGGCGCTTTTCAAAGCGAAGGCAACATCACCTTTGCTTCTGTGACTCGACTACCCTATCTCAATGCCGTGATAGAAGAAAGTTTGCGACTCTACCCTCCAGTCCCTAGTACACTCCCCAGGCGTACACTTGCGCAAGGAAATGTCATCGATGGTCACTTTGTCCCGGGAAATGTGAGCCGTATCAGACACCATCTGTCGGATCGACAATGCTGACCAGGCCACCAAGACCACAGTAGGAGTGAACCACTGGTCGGCCTATCGATCCAAGGACAATTTCCGCGACCCCGAAACCTTCGTACCGGAACGCTGGCTCGACGATCCAGTCTACGCAAACGACCAGAGAGCGGTACTTCAGCCGTTCGCGATCGGTCCACGGAATTGCATCGGGAAGAAGTGAGCTTTGAACCTCCGACCTCCTGCCGCAATTGTTCCGACTAATACTAATACCTTTTGTCCCACAGTCTGGCGTACGCCGAGATGCGCAGCATTCTCGCGCGGATGCTCTGGCACTTCGACATGGAGCTCTGCGAAGCAAGCAAGGGGTGGACTGATCAGCTTGCATTTGTGCTGTGGGAAAAGCCTGCACTATTGGTCAAGTTGACAGAGAGGACCGATCGGTAGTTTGAAATAACGTCCACAAGGATGTATGATCGCCGGCGTCAAGGGGGGGAGGTCTGTTTACCACGAGAATTTGCAGATAGCTATACTATGAGACTGGTTTACGGTTCATGTACAGAAAGATATTTCCATTTCATCATCTGCTTTCCAGTCTCTTCTCCATCCATGACCATTCTGCCGCACGTACAACTTTTCCTGAGCACTTCGCTATTTTTCGCCCATCTGCAGTCGAGATCGATTGTTCCACAATCAGTCCAAGCATTGCCATGGCTTTACCCTAGCCTGACAGCTCAGCCATATTGGTTGACCTTCCCTCGTACCCCTTCTTCGGTGCGACTTTGCTGAGCATCCGCCTTATCCGTAGAAAATCATCGTGAGACTACACTGTGCCCGGGCGCACGGGTATTTGCGTTCCATATCTTCCATCATGGTTGCTGATGAAAACTAACCCCCAATTACTAATCATACCCCGAATTCATACCATGTAGATTCGGAATCCATTCAAAAAAACCAAGGAAAAATCCGACCGGCCATCCACCAAAAAAAAAAACCCACCGATCAAACCACCAGCTAAAACACAGACGAAAGCCGATGGGTGTAGCAGCCCCCACGGGGGCCCTATTAGGTTCAAATCCGGCTGCAAAGACACCCCCCAGGCTTTTTGCGCTGACAGCCAACACCACAGAAGCAGCCCGGGCTCCCCAAAAAGGGCCTAAATTGCCCCCCACCCTGTCTACACCAGACTCACACACAGTCACTCCCAATACTAGCTCACCAATTGGATAAACACGAAATACCCCAAATTTGTTAGGGGTATATTCAAATAGGAATTCAAGATTCATAGTTTCGGGGATGATCGGTAATTAGCCGGTTGCTGATACACAGCGAAAGCTGGACCAGCTCGACTCGGAAACGACCCCAGCGGACGCTGTTCCAGCCGGAGATGAAAGCCCGCAGGACGATCAAACCATATGTGGCAATTGCAGTAAGGTTGATTTCGAGGCTATCTCCGCCAAGATCAAATCTAAATGAGGGTTTCTGGTTACAGGATCATGGCATTTATCATCTGCGTCTGACCAGGCCGCTTGCCCCATGTTTCGCCTGTTGGCCGTGCGAGATGGTAGCGACGAATGGCGATACTATCACGGCTCGCAATACCACATAAGAGCATTTTATCTCTCTGTACCTATGACAGAGACGTCATGTATCATGGGAAACACTGATACCACGTGCATCGCAATGCTACCCGGCAAGGGCTTGAATAAGTACCCCCAGACCGGCTAAGGAATACTCAGGATTGGCATCGTTTGAAGCGGGGAACGAGGCGTTATCCGTCTTGACAACACCGGAGTTTTATCATTCGAGTCCAAGTTTGGAGAACCTAGGATTCAGACTGATGGTGTCAATTACAGACTTCGTCGAATGTGGGTGGATTGCCGAGAAAAGAAATCCACACTTCTTCATGCGGCGATTCCCATCCTCGTTGCTGCCATCTCCGACGTCTGCTCGCGCCTCACTTCAAAGCACTGTTGATGATTTCACTCAAGAATCGCCCGTATGAGAAGTCCTTGCCGGTCGCGAGGAGAGCGAGGTCGGACCTGTCGGGTATGATTCCATGGATAGGATTGACCTCAAGTGAGCACGGCAGACCTACGTGATACGTCGCGTATTCGGTCGAACCGGGGCTAATTACTAATTCATACCCCGAAACTATAAATCCTTACCGAATTATACCCCTAACAAGTTTAGGCCCATGAATTGAATTCATGAAAAGTTTTTTTTTCTTCCGGAACATCGAGAATTCGAGATTAAATTCGATTCTCGAAGAGTAAAAATACTTTAATTTAATATTTACTTAGAATTATAAAATCGAATTTTATAAATTTTAGATTATTAGAAAGCGTAGAATAAGATTTATAATTAAAAAAAATAACAAACTACGTAATTAGTATTAAAGTAAAGATTATTTTCTTTTAAATTATACTTCTCTTAGCGGTGGCTAAAATAATTAATTTTTAGTCTCTATTATAAATATTTTATAATTAAATAAATATAAAGTTTAAATACTCGCTATTTAATTCTTTAATATTTATAATATATAAATAAAAGCGTATTATTTATTTATTTAATATATTTTATATAAAGAAATTAATAATAATATAAGAATCTTAGTAATAATATAATTTAATTAATTATATAGCGGCTTCGATAGTCTTAGCTAGATACGATATATCTCGATTCGCTTTATATTATTTTAAGTAAAAAGTAAAAGTATTTAAGCGATAGTCTTTAATTCTTAAATTATAAGCGAATTATAATTATTTAAATTTAGAATAATTATTTTAAAGTAGAAGTTTTATTATAAGATATCTTAGATAAAGAATAACTTAAAATAACATCATAACAAAGAAATTAAACTTTATAATATATATATATAAGTTAAATTATAAAATTTCTAAAAGTTTCTTATATTAAGAAGATTAATAAAGCTCTTTATAGTTATAGTTATCTCTATTATAATAAATATAAATATTTAAAGATAATCGTAGCTATAGCGATAAACTATATTATTATTAAAATAATTACTAAGTATAGCTCGAGCTTATAATCTATTAAAATATAAAGATAGAATACTTAGTTATATTAATTATAGAGTTCTATAAAAGAAAAGAGCGACTTAATATAGACGCGCTAAGACGTATTACGTAATTATATTATATAATTACTAAGATATTAAGAGTTACGTAATTCGAATTTTAATAGATATATTAGAAATATATTTTATAGAGATTATTTAAAGATTTATATATCTCGAATAAACTACTTAATAGCGGATTTCTCTTCTATCTCTTTTATTATAGTAGTAGAATATTAGAAGATCTTATAAGAAGCTTTCTATCTTCTAAAATTATTATAAATAGCTTTATTAATCTAGACGAACTTATATATTAAGAGAGTATTAATTAATTTATATATAAGCGAGTTTTAAAGTAGATACGATAGTCTTATATATAAATAGAAGTTTTAGATTAATACGATTATTATTATTATTATACTATACTATAATATATACTATATAATCTATAATAGGCTTTAGAAATATTCTTTATTATAATTTATTTACTTTCTACTACCTTTACTTTCTATTATCTTTACTTATAAATAGCTTTAATTGCTAGAGCTTTATACTTATTTATATAAAAGTAATTACTAGTCGAAAAGATATAATATATTTTATAAGATATTTCATATTAAGTAATATTATATCGTATCCGAGTATAGTATAAATAGAGTCGAATATTATATTATTTTTCTAATATAAGTTCGAGATCTTAACGAGATATTTCACGATATAATATATCTATGAAATTATATTATAGAATAATATATATATAAAATATTTCTACTAAGATTTCTATATTTATAGAATAATCCGACTAAGATATATAGAATATATTTATTCTTCTTTATTAAGAGAGAGGGAATATAAAGAGTAATCTAATATAGCTATTTATCTTTTTATTAATAATAATAATTAGAATAATAATTAGAACTATAAGCGTCTCTATTCTTCTTCTTAAAATTATAATATAAAAGAATATTCTAAATTTTAAATCTTTAAATATTATAAGAATAAAATTCTATAATTATCTTTATTTATATATTTATCTTAACGCGTTAAATAAGCTTAATAAACTTTATATTTATTCTTCTCTCGAATTCTAATCTACTCTTCTATTCTACTCTATCGTAATTCTTTTAAATATTCTAAATTTATCTTTATCTAATTAAACTTATTAATTATTTATAAATAAATTCGCTTTTTAAATTATTTTAGATCTCTTTTTTAAGATTAAATCTATTATTATTAACTCTCTCTAATTATAAGTCTATCGATTATTTCTCTATATATTATAAAATATTAGTAATATATCTTAATAAATTTATAAATATTAAATTTATCGAAGTACTTTTTATAAGCTTATTATCTTTATTAATATAATTATTATAATTATTAATTAAATTTTTATATAAAGTACTATTAGCTCTTTTAATTTAATTTAATATATTAAGATCTTCTTTAAAATTAAATTTAGCTTATTTAAACTTATTTTCTTAATACTTTATATAAAGAATTATTATTAGAATATAAAATATCGCTAATAAATAATACTTTTAAGTATTATAATATCTTTTAGTTATTAAGAAATATCGCTTATATATAATAGTCTTTATAAGAGAATAAAGAATATTATAAGCTATTCGAGCGATTATAGCATATTTAAACTTTAATTTCTTTTATTACTTTAAAATTAAAAGATTTATTAGATTATTAAAAGAAGCTTTATAAAGATTAAAGATAAGATTATAACTAAAATAATAATTAGAAGATTTATTATTTTATCTATACTACTAAAATTAATTATATTTATTCTTATTATCTAAATTCTTAATCTCGAATTCTATTATTTAATTAAATATATCTTTATTTAATTAACTTATTCGCTTAGCTCTTTATAATTAATTACTTATATTAATATTTTAATAATTTTAAAATATCTTTTTAAGCGCTTTTTAATAAATCTTCGCTTATAGCTTCTCTCTAGTATTAATCTTTTAATTCGATTTCTTTAACTTTATATTATTATAACTTAAATATAAAAGTATAGCTTATTTATATAGATAGTTTAAATTTAATTAAATTCGATTATAATAGATAGTTAATTTCTTATAAATCGTCTTAAGAGCTTTAAAAAGTTCTTTTTTTAAGAAATTCTCTTTTTTCTTAATTTTCCGAGCTTTCTATCTATATAGTTAAATAGGTAATTATAGATATTAAAGATATAGTAAATTATAGCCTTCTTTTCTCTACTTATTAATTTTATAAATTTATAAAAAAATCTAATAAGCTAAATTAAATATTAAATCTATTAGAAATTAATCGAAAATTATTTAGACGCCTAGATTATAATTTCTATTTATAATTATTTTTTATTATTTAA